TGACATGAATGTACTTTGTAATTCAACGCATTACAGAAATGTAGTGGAGTAAAAGTCAAACGTACCCATGATGAAATCTACTTAAGTAAAGTACAGATACATGAAAAATGTACTTAAGTATGGCAAGAAAGTACTTGTACTTAGTTACATCCCACCACTGTTTAAAACAAAACAACAGTGTGGAGTTAAAGGAGCAAACGAGTGCAACAGCTCGAGAGGAAATTGTGGAGAAAAGGGGAAAGGTCGTGTCACCACTAGTATTTAAGATATTTTAAGTTCGACAAGAGTCAAACCAAATGTTTAAAAATAATCAATTATTGATGTCAACTGATATGAAATGCTTATACTGTGATAAGTTTTTCAGCCCAACTGTGATGTAATAGTTCAGAAAACGTCATAGAAAATAGAGAAAACCAAACGAGTTTAAAAATCTGTCCCAAAAAAGAATATAAAAATATCAACACAGCACCGGGAGAGACTAAATAAAATTTTCTGCAATCCTGGAGACTTCAAGTACACAACAAAATGTGTTTAATGGTTAAAACATGGATTTATCATATTGAAGAAATTTATTTAGTCATTTAGAAAGTGATTTTAAAAGCACCACACCATATTCATAGTTTTCCTTTTTATGTATTGATTCTTATGATCTATTGTTCGACTATTGTTATGACTTGATTAAAATAGGTTTAGATACATGCCTGAAACATCATGACAACACATAAAAAACCGTTAATCAAACTGTCTGTACGAGTGTCTGCGATTCAGCCGTAGGCCTGTAGTGGGCGCACCAGGCACTGAAGAACCGTGTGTTTATAGACCGGGACTTCCAGCTTTCAATCAGCAGGTTTMATTTCTGCACAGAGAGCATTAAAACACCGTTCTCTCCAGTCACTGGTGTTGTACGGTCCATCTCTTCACATTTTAATCTATTCAACATTCATGTGGTTTCGTCTTGATTTCAGTAAACAAACGCTAAATTTTCTTACAATATCTCTTCTTTAAAATGGAGGGAAAAGGGCCAAACTGAACTGTTTGCTCTGCTTTGTCTCTCCTCCAGGAGACTACTTGGTAACTATTGAGGAAAAGAACAGCGCCACCTACCTGAGAGCCTACACCAACTGGCGCTACCAGGTACAGAGATCACTGCAGAAATCCAAAAAGTTGTTGGGGCGTTTCGGTCGAACTTTGTTTTGAAATGGACATCCTAAGTTGGTTTCTCGTTTTCCCATTCAGGCGGAGGAGAAGGCCCGTGTCGGGGTCCGTTTACTGGGCCACTTGCTGCGTGGCGCGTCGGTGTGGGGYGGAGTGCAGGCGGAGATCATCGAGATCCCGCTGTCGGAGCATCCCGTCGCCGTGACGTGTTGCCCCGCGACGGGAGACCTCCTGGTCGGCTGCGAGAACACTCTGGTTCTTTTTACCCTGCAGAGACAGAACCAGCAGAACCTGGTACGACTTCAGCTGTCTGGCTTTGTTAGATTAGTTGTCTTTAAAATACATCAATGTAAATTAATTTTCTAAAATATAAAAAAACATGTTTTGTCTTCTTGAAACCTCATTCCTCTTGGTAAAAAAAAAAGCAAAAGCAGAACCAACAGAACCTTCAGAGCTCCTGGCCAAACACTCAGCAGAGCTGCAGCCAAAGTCAGGGTAAGAATTTAACTGCTGAGTATTTGTGCTTAAGTGTTAAAAACCTGAAAGACATGCAATCATACACAAACYGAGTACCAGACTTTTTTTTTGACTGTGTTGCATGTAAAGGTTCAAAACAAGAAAGGAGACATGAAAGCAAACATTGGGCTTCATGCAAGAACCGTTCGTACGCACAGATTTGTTCTTAAGTTGTGCGTACGAGTGATTTAGCAGAATTTGTGGCATTCACCATTTTTCTTTTGTTCTAAGATTTTTTTTCAGATACGAACAAAATTCACGAGTGGTCCAGACCTGTTGTATATTTTACGATCAGTCAGTCTGCTGTTATCCAGACGGGTTTTCTTCACTCATAACTTTATATTTCGTTATTTAGAAATTTTTTTGAGTTGAAAATAAATCAAGCCTTAATTATTTTGACAATAGGTTATTCTGTTTGAACCGGAATTAGATTTTAAATGTAACTAAAGTAGGGCTGTGTATTGGCAAGAATTTGGCGATACGATACATATCATAACAGAGGGGTCACGATAAGATATATCCCGATATATTGCGATACTG